CATTGCTGGAATTCTTATAATTTGGTGATCATTTTGAATATGAACATCATATATTTTGCTTTAAACTTACAATTTTTAGATAAAAATTTTTCTCTAGGTAACTATGGTATCTTTTGTGCAAAATATATGACATTTATATTCAAAATATTCCTGGTCTTACAAGGAATCCAGCAATGTCAATTATATTATCCTAACTTTAGTTTGAGGTATTATTTATTAAAATTTAGTGGTTATCCCACACATCTCCTTGGGCCGGTTGGTGGGGGGTGGGGGGGACGGAGGGACCAACTGACCATCTGTTACCCTGTGAAGAATTATTATTTTTTTTTATTAACTGAAGATATTTGTTTTAGCTCATAAAATTCATACAAATTACCCGGTCAGAATATAATTTACATCGCTGGAATTCTTATAATTTGGTGATCATTTTGAATATAAACATCATATATTTTGCTTTAAACTTACAATTTTTAGATAAAAATTTTTCTCTAGGTAACTATGGTATCTTTTGTGCAAAATATATGACATTTATATTCAAAATATTCCTGGTCTTACAAGGAATCCAGCAATGTCAATTATATTATCCTAACTTTAATCTGAGGTATTATTTAATACTAAATGTTAAAAACTCTGGAAGGGAGGATTGGTGGGGGGTGGGGGGGAGGGTTGGGACTGACCGCGCGGTTGGAAGAGGGGGGAGGCAAGGTGGGGTACTTTGATTGACAGATAGTGTCGTGAAGATTATTTTTTTTTTATTAACTGAAGATATTTGTTTTAGCTCATAAAATTCATACAAATTACCCGGTCAGAATATAATTTACATTGCTGGAATTCTTATAATTTGGTGATCATTTTGAATATAAACATCATATATTTTGCTTTAAACTTACAATTTTTAGATAAAAAATTTTCTCTAGGTAACTGTTATCTTTTGTCCAAAATATATGACATTTATATTCAAAATATTCCTGGTCTTACAAGGAATCCAGCAATGTCAATTATATTTTCCTAACTTTAGTTTGAGGTTATCCCACACATCTCCTTGGGACGGTTGGTGGGGGGTGGGGGAGGGAGGGACCGACCGACCATCTGTTAGCCGGCTGTGTAGTGTGAGAGGGGGAGGGAGTTGAGTCCATTATTTGAATGGACATTAACTTGGTGACTGTATTTCTCTATTTCTCTTAAGTATTAATTGTGTGCATGTACCATCATAAAATTAAGATGTTATTTTTACTACAACATAGGTATGTGCCTTCAAAAAGTGGAGTTTGGGGGTCGGGCCGGTTTCTATTGGAATTAATCCCATATGTTCTGTTGTTCACTTAACGCGATTTCACTTAACGCGGGACCCTCTGGGTTCAATTGACCGCGTTAAGTGGGGTACAACTGTGTATATATATACAGTGAGTTCTACTATAACGCGTGTTTTGATAACGCGAATTTGCTCTAACGCGATTTATGAATTCGGAACAATATTTGTATAACGCGATCGCTTGTTTGCTATAACGCGATTTTTGCTTACTATTTCTCCAATTTTGTGGTACAGTGAGTTCTGCTATAACGCGTGTTTTGATAACGCGAATTTGCTCTAACGCGATTTATGAATTCGGAACAATATTTGTATAACGCGATCGCTTGTTTGCTATAACGCGATTTTTGCTTACTATTTCTCCAATTTTGTGGTATTAACTGTGAATATGGTAAAGAAGAATATCTCCAAAAAGCATTCTGATGATAGAATTCCCGGTGATTATCGTAAAAGAAAGGATATAACACTTGAAGAGAAGCTTGATGTTATCGACCTCAAAATCACCCTTCTCCCCCATCAAGTTACATTCATATTTTTTCAAGGTAAAGTGTTAAATTTACTGTATGATTTCATTATTAGATATGAATGTAACATTTATTTAGACTGTGCTATCCTTTGTGTTAGGCTAACTACTAAATTTTTTCGATTTCGAGTAAACTGCACCTAACCCTATTTTCTCCATAAGCCCTGTTATTTCTATTACGCGATTTTCTATAACACGATATTTTACAAGAACACAATTATCGCGTTATAGCAGAACTACCTGTATTAACTGTGAATATAGTAAAGAAGAATATCAACAAGAAGAGTTCTGGTGATAGAATTCCCGGTGATGATCATAAAAGAAAGGATATAACACTTGAAGAGAAGCTCGATTTTATCAACCTCAAAATCACCCTTCTCCCCCATCAAGTAAAGTGTTACATTTACTGTATGATTTCATTATTAGATATGAATGTAACATTTATTTAGACTGTGCTATCCTTTGTGTTAGGCTAACTACTAAATTTTTTCGATTTCGAGTAATCTGCACCTAACCCTATTTTCTCCATAAGCCCTGTTATTTCTATTACGCGATTTTCTATAACACGATATTTTACAAGAACACAATTATCGCGTTATAGCAGAACTACTATATATATATATATATATATATATGTGAGTATATATATATATATATATATATATATATATATATATATATATATATATATATATATATATATATATATATAATATATATATATATATATATATATATATATATATATATATATATATATATATATATATATATATATATATATATATATATATATATATATATATATATATATATATATATATATATATATATATATATATATATATATATATATATATATACATACATACATACAGTCAACCCTCACTTTACGCGGTCCCACATTCCGCGTTTCCACGTTTACGCGGTGCCCTGCCAGAACCCAGGATGCTCACATTCCGCGGTGGGTGTACCCCTTTACACGGGTGAAGTATAATTTTTTTTATTTAGCTCATAAAATTCATACAAATTATCCGGCCAGAATATAATTTACATTGCTGGAATTCTTACAATTTGATGATCATTTTGAATATAAACATCATAGATTTTGCATTAGACATACAAATTTTAGATATAATGTTTACTCTGAGTAAATATGTTATCTTTTGTGCAAAATATATGACATTTGTATTCAAAATATTCCTGGTCTTACAAGGAATCCAGCAATGTCAATTATATTATCCTAACTTTAGTTTGAGGTATTATTTATTACTATACCTGGTTTTCCCCCCAAAATTTCTCAGAGAGGGAAGAGCCAGGAGTGTAGTGTGAGAAGAGGGGGAGGGAGTTGAGTCCATTATTTGAATGGACATTAACTTGGCGACTGTATTTCTCTATTTCTCTTAAGTATTAATTGTGTGCATGTACCATCATAAAATTAAGATGTTATTTTTACTAGAACATAGGTATTGTGTTGGAAAAAGTGGAGTTTGGGGGTCAGCTGGTCTCTTTTTCATTTAATCCCTTATGTTATGTTATTCACTTTACGCGTTTCTCACTTTCCGTGGTACCCTGTGGGTTACATTAACCGCGTAAAGTGAGGGTTGACTGTATATAATAGTGTAAAGCATTACTGTTACTGTGTCCAGTGTATGTTGGACAGTTGGGCTCTGGTACTGTATTGGTATTGGCCTGGGTACTGTATGTGTTTATACAAGCTGCCAGCCTGCCACTACTTAAGCAGTCCACTGGGCATTAAGTTAGTGAGCATCTGCATCTCATTGTGGTAGATTCTGGGTCAATGTATATTAGAAGACATAATAAGATTTTTTGTTCTAATAGGTTCAGACAAAAACAAGACAATTTTCATCTGTGACACTTTTGGCACATTTAACCCAGAACCGAAATATTGGGAGTTGAATATCAGAAATTTTTACCCTAAAAACACCTCCCAAGAAAATATCAAATGATAATGAGGATTGCAGTTCTATTAAGTACAAAGAGGATGCATGTTCCTCTTAATATCACACAAAAAGCTGGAATACTGTATTACAAAGACTAGACAAAAGTGTTTCATCTTGCACACTTCTTGAACAACATGGCGTTGGAACACAATGGTTTATAATATCGAAAGTCCCTGTGACGAGATTGTGAAATTCTTTGCTGATAGTGAAACAAACAAAGGCATGGCTAAGTGTAAATCATTGTGATGTGTGAGGTCAGCAGAGCTTACACAGTGGTGTTAGTGGTTTAAGCAATGGAGAAGTGCAGGGGTGTTTATTACTGACCACCCTTTTTATGTGAAAAAGTCAGAATTTCACCAGAATTTGATAATTAATCATAAATCACAATACACTGTGTAATGGTGATGAAGCTGCATTATGCATGTACCTATACATACGAGTATGTATGCTGTACTCATAGCTTATATAAAACACTGCAGTCTCGTGAATGGATGGAGGAGAGTGAAAGTGAGTGTTTGGCCACCCTGCAAATTATGGGAAAAGGGTTGCAAAAATTAAAAAGATATATGACACTGGTCTGATAAAAGATATCATTACATATTTCCATTTCCAATACAGTTCTGTATATTTGTAATTTATAGGTTATTGAATGAATGTTTGGGAGATCCTTATTTTCTAGAGTAGAAAATCATTCCTCAACCACCCATGCTCAGGTGACTTGGTGTTCTAACAGCAAGGTATTTCTAACAGCAAGGTATTGTGTCCTGTTAGATCAATGTCAATTGCTGCTTAACAGTTTTAACCATGGTTTAGTAGTTGCTTTGAAAGCTAGTGAGTAAACAGAACACTAGGTTTGAACCCTGAAACTGTTCACTTTTGTAGGCTTTATGTGCTCTTTATGAAACTAGCCCTAATGGATCATCACTCTGAAATGAGGAATGGTTAACTCCCAGATGATGTTTTCAGTTATCATGATGGAAGTTACTTTATGATGGAAAATCTTCCACAGTTTGCTAGCACAATAATAAGAGCCACTTGACTTGAAGTTAAGGTAGAAAATGGAATTTCAGGATCACCATTTTATTTTGTATTTATCTTGAGTGACATACATATACAGTGAATAAATAAAATGTTTTGTTGACGATCCAAAGTCTCACGGTGATCAGTTTTCATCAAGAAAAGTGTTCTTATGTTTTATTTTTAGGTAGACCTGAAACCACACTGTTGGCTGATCCTCTTCACCCAGAAAATCCAGCAGAATGCAAGTAAATTTGTTGGCATGTTAAAGCAGGTGACTCGCATCATGGGTATTCATGTTGGAGACCCTCAAATGGTCTGCCTGCCTGATGACAAGACAGAGAGTTATGTCAACAGCTTGAAAATTTTTTATCATGATGAGGTAATGAAGTTAGTTAACAGTTTATTAATTTTGTGGCTGAGTGAGTGTTGTAAATTTTGATTGATCATCATTGAGAGAAACACGATAATGAAATTCTGTGATTAGAGTTTAAGTATTAAATTAATTTGCCTTGACTGATATCTTAATAAGTTTTACCATGTCATTTTGTTTATATTATCCTCTTCCATGCCACTTCAAAACAAGCTACAACTTGATTTTGTATAGTGTACTGTGTATATACAGTGACTTAAAATTAGTGAATAAGTGATGTTAATGTATTGTAATTTATCAGCTCTGTTCATTATTCTAGCACATCTTACTTTTGCATTATCTTTTCCAGTTGCAGTTGGCAGTCATTATCTTCCCATCTCGGCGAGAGGACCGATACTCAGCAGTGAAGCGACTTGCATGTGTAGACTTGGCTCTTCCGACCCAGTGTATCAACAGTCGCACTATTAGCCAGGACAGTATACTGCGTTCGGTAACACAGAAGATTGCATTGCAGATTAATTGTAAACTTGGTGGGGAACTGTGGATGTTGAAGATTCCCATGACTGGACTAATGGTAGGAAATATATTATTGTGGAAAAATTTTTTCTCAAAAGTTAGATGTAAAGAATGCATTATATTTATACTATCTTGTGTTAACCTAATGGCAGAGATTGAGAGCAATAGAATGTAAATTTCTTCCTGTCTTGAAATTTTTTCCAATCGAATTAAAGATCAAAGTTTAAGGGCACAATATTTCATCATAAGTTAGAAAAACTACTCAACCAACTTTTATTTTTTTAAACCCAACTGTATTCTTTTCATCACTCATGGATCTCGAGATCCCCAGACTTTTCAAATTATCTTTGGGTCTTCATCCTAAATATTTAATGAATGTCTATCATTCATGTGTAGTTTTTATGAAAAGTTAAACTAAAGTAAACCCTTGGTATTCGTGGAGGTTAGGTTCAAGAATGGCGTGAATAGCAACTTGTACCTGAGTGCACTGCTGTATACCTATACCATGCAACCGACCAGCCACAGCAGCACTCATCCCCACTTTAAACTTATCTAATAATTCAACTTTCTTTGTCAGGGTCATCACTAACTTCTGCCTTTTACATTTTACTCCACTAGCACTGACCTGACACTAGGCAGTCTTTTAGGGGCCATTTCAAACAGAAACACTAAAGTTTTGAGAGAACAACACGAGATGCTGCGTGGGATGACTCGTTGTGCTGCAGGAAAAGGCTGGCAAGCTAGCCACCCTAGCCACCTTTTGCTTATTGCGAATCGTCGAAATTGCGAATCGCAAACCCATGAATGGCAAGGGTCTACTGTAATTCATGGAAGAGAATGGAAGATGGACCATATATTAAGCTTTAAAAGCTTTTAATAAGAACAAAGCATTCTGAATTAATTTTGTTTGGAAGGTTTTACCAAATATAAAATGCTTTGGTGAATTATGGCAAAATGCATGTTTTTATGTAATATATCAAGTCATATTAACCCTTTCTGTATTACACCCTTTAGCTTTCATGAGTCACTGACCCCACCCAACACTGCACAACTGTCCCTTGCTTGACATTGTACAAGGGTTAATTCTAACTTGTGTGTTTTGGTTATACAGTGGTCCCTCGGTTAACGAGCACAATTCGTTCTAGAAGGTTGCTCGTTAATAACCATTGTTTCAATGGGTTTTTGGGTAGTGGTTCCAGCTCACCGAAAATTGCCTAATGTCAACAAAAAAGGTAGTAAAGTACACTTACTTTGAGGTGTGTATGTAGAAGGCTCCTGGATGATGATGATAATGATGATGGGAATTAGAATGGTGGTGGAGGAGATGGGAGAGAAGAGGCATTGGGGTGGAAGAGAAGTCACCCATGGTGCATTCACCCATAAAATTTTAGTTCACTTGGTGTAATTTAAGATTATTTTCTTTAAATCAACACTGCACTGCATTATATATTGTCAATATGTAAAATAAATTTCAAAATGACCAATAATTTGACTGGAAACACAGAAAAAAAAGCGTTTATATTGAAGAGAGTCTGAAGCCAGATGTTACCTCCACTGGAAAGACACAGACACTGATGTCTGTATGGTGTGTTGACAGACTGTTTGGCGTGCTAAAAACTAGTTTCCCTGTACAGGTAGTCCCCGACTTACGACCACATGGACTTACGTCCATTGGTACTTACGACCTGCTCTGACCTTACATCCGTTGGGATATCTGACCGCGACAGTCGTGACCAAAAATATTTTCAAATGACACGCGTTCTATACCGAAACGTTTCCGTCCGGGCGAGAGGGTCTCGGTGCCTCGTGGGTACACTACTCAGTGGGCTTAGTTTGTGGTTGGCTATCGTATCCTATACTGATCGCTGTGAACTTTCGTTATTATCGTATTTAATTGACTTTATAATGACTGGAAAGCGTAAAGTGAGAGTGCTGGTGGTGCTCCAAAGAAAGAGACAGGCAATACTTTTGAGATGAAACTGAAGATAATAACACAGCATGAGAATGGAAAAACAGTGGCAACAATCTCACGCTACCTAGGTTTCTCACACTCGACTATATCCACTATTCTGAAAGACAAGGAATGTATTCGTGATGTAGTGAAAGGAACAACACCTATAACGGGAACTATAATATCAAAGAAAAGACAAGGTCCTATTCACGACATGGAAAAATTATTGGTGATATGGATAGAAGACCAGATACAGAAGCGTGTACCCTTAAGCCATCTAACCATACAGGCTAAAGCAAGAAGCCTGTTCCAAAGCCAGGAAGTCATGGGTGGTTTGATGGATTTAAAAATTGCTACAGTCTACACAATGTTAAGGTGAGTGGAGGCAGCTAGTGCCGATGTTGGTGCTGCCGAAGCTTTTAAGGAGGAGTTAGATGAAGTGATTGTGGAAGGGAATTATTTGCCTGAGCAAATATTCAATGTGGATGAGACTGGATTATTGTGGGCGCATGCCTGAGGGACATATGGTTTCAAAGGAGTTAATGAAAATGAAGTTGTTTCGGATATTAGTAACAAGATAGTGGAGTTAGGTAAACAGCTGGAGTTAAACATTGATAATGAAGATGTTGAACAGTTGGTTGAAAGTGTAGCAGAAGAGCTCGTAACAAGGATCTTATTGAACTAGATGCAGAAAATTGCAGAGGAAGAAGAAGACAAAACGTAGAAGAACCTGCACCCCAAAAAGTTTTCAGTGAAACTAATGGCAGAGGCATTTGCTACAATTAATAAAGGAATGCAAATGTTTGATGGCATGAATCAAATTTTGAGCGTTATGCCAAAGTTGACAGAATGATTCAGGATGCACTTGCTTGCTAGAGAAATTTATAATGAAAAGAAAAAAAACAAACTGTGCAGTCTAAATTGACATCTATTTTAAGAAGTCCCCAGTGCTGTCTCTCACGCCCCACCAGTGCTGCCTCTTCACTCCCTCAAGATGATCCAATACCTTCAACCAGCAAGTTTCCACACAGTACATAAACCTGTCTGAAGAAAGCGACATTGATGACCCACCCAGCCCTGTTCTCCTCTGCTTTATCCAATTAATATAGTCTCCATGTATCCGTAAGGAGAATGAAAGTGTAGAAGGTCTATAGTCAGAAACTATTGTCGAATTTCTGAAGTTGTGCTGGAGAATTCATGAAGGATGTCCAATGCTGGCCAGAAGTTGGTCAGCCAACGTTTTCCATCTGGACGCGAAGTTGGAGTAGTGGCTGTAGTTCATTCTGATATTCACGACGTCCTCAACTATGAGAACGCTGGCCCGAGAGGTGCCACAAGTGCACTTTGGTTTGAGGACTGATGTGGACATGTCCTGTCAACACATGGTGCCACAACAGAGTAGAAGTAACATTAATTGAAGATCCAAAGCCATTCTGTGTTGTGGAAATTACAAAACGATTTAACGCTCTACTCGGTAAACGAGTTTGCCACAATAGTCATTTCAGACACACTCTTGCTTCTGGACAATCTGTAAGTGATGTATCAATCACATCATCATCAACTGGAGGTAATACATTTATCTGGGTCTTCTTCAGACGATCCGCGTGCACGACATCTGCGATCTGTGCATTAGGCTTCCAAATTTTGAATTTGTAGCCTGATTCTTTCGAGATTATGCGGAATGGACCAGAAAATTTTGCCGAAAGTTTGAAGTTCCTTTCAGGTTCTCTTAACATAACAGCGTCCCCAACGTTTAATGCGACAGGTTTAGCTTGTTTATGTTGTTTGATGATCATTTCGGCGCGTGACGCCGCTAGATGTGATTGTACTTGGGCATGAATATCTGTAAAGACATGAATTTGTTTTGCCGCGAAATCATCCGTATTATAAACCGGGTATGGCGCATCTGTAAGGATGTCGTAAGGTAGACGTTTATCCGTACCATAGACAATGTAGTAGGGTGTTTTGCCCGTAGAGCTATTAACTGACCCTTTTATAGACGCTGCAACCTGCGGTAACCAATCCTCTCATGCATATTGAAAACCACTGACAATTGGATTCAGTATTTCTAGGATTTTACGATTGGTTCTTTCAACAAGGCCATTAGCCTGTGGATGATAAGCTGTCACAAAAGTTTGTTTAATACCATATTGTGCACATATATGCGCTACTAGCTGATTCTTGAACTCTGTTCCATTGTCAGAGAGCAGAACTTTAGGCGTAGTATATGGACATATAAGATTCATCACTAATGGATAGGCTACTGCTTCGGCCGTTTTGCTTTTTAGTGGGACCAAGACCACGAACCTTGAAAAGTGATCCACACACACTAACATCCCTGATGACTCATTGGGAGTTGTAACAAGTCAATAGCGACTGTGTCAAACGGACGGTCTGGTGTAGTGTAAGATTGTACCATCGTACGATATGTTTTCCCATGTCGAGATGGGGCCTTGTCTTTGGCAGCGCCCGGTTGCCAGTCACCAGCTGACGCTGTTAGAATAAAGTCTACAAAGAACGTGGTCTATGACTCAAACCTCTCACATGTAGGATATTGTAGAATCGGGGCAGGTGATCCTGTTGAACCTTTATGTTGAGCACACGCCAAACAATTAGCTATGTGTAATTCTATGTCTCTTCATAGTGTTCCAGAAATACTTCTTTCGTAAATCCGCTAAGCATTTATCACGACCTTGGTGACCTGCTTGTGGGACATCATGGAACAATGTCATTACTGCTTTGCACAACGTGTCAGGTACGACTATTTGAGACACATTACCCTCAGGAGATTTTCTCGTCTTATTGAGTATGTTATGTCATAATTCAAACTGACTTTAGGGAAGAAATAACTTGGGGAGTTTAACATCCTCACCCGATTCGAGAGCAAAAATAACAGCTGACCAATATGGGTCGCGTCGTTGCTCATCTTCCAGTTGCGAAAGAGTGAATGTTGATACAGGCATGACTGGTGCTATATTTCTTGACAGAGCGTCGGCGACAACATTCGCCCTCCCTGGTAAATACCTAAATTCGGGGTCAAACTCTTGAATTGTCAGATACCAGCGTGCTAATCTGCCTGATAAGTTTCTGCCATGGAACAGTTCAGT